CGCCCAGGCATTGGCACCATTTAAACATGCGACTTGCACGCTTTTTAAAGTTACTACAAAAACCAACCTGATGATCCAGTAACTACACCACCTATTTTACGCTATAGCTAGTATATCAAGCTACTAGAGGAAACCCTAAAACCATGCCACTACCTAATCCGATCATTCTACAAAATTACGAACCTAGCTTCGTCAACACAATTTTTAGACTTAAGAAATTGACTAAGTTTTTGTTTGGATTCGCATCAACTTCATTTTCCAAGCTACCCACTATGCTATCTAGCGAACCCCATTCTCGACCGCAAGTATTTCATCGTCACCTACGAAGTTCATGGTACAAACTTTACTAAAGTTTCGCATATGCGTTCTATAGTATTTCCGTTCAATAAAAATTCTTTTAGAACCCTAAGCGATACAACGCGACATGAAATGTAACATTTGTTTTGTGTTTCCGATGAACGTTTCAAGTTTCGTATATTGATTTATACCCTATATTACACACATTTACACACAAGTATGATGCTCATGCAGTGTTTTAGCAAAAACTGTACAGTGTAACACCTAGGGTGTTACAGCAATGGCACTGAAAGGAGTGCTACTTGCTCAACACATTGGATGCAGCGACTTCATCGTTCATTCAGACTGCACAGAGGTTATGGACACTATGAAAAGTGGCATCTCATCTACAGCGGGGGCACCAATCTTTGTTGAATGTTTCTAGCTATGGCAGAACTTTGAAGCAATATCTCTTGAGAAGTGCGATCGGGAAACAAATAAGGTGGTGCACGAGTTAGCGAAAGTAGCTTTATCAGCAAAAGAAATTTGTATTTGGGTCAATGAACCCCCTGATTTTATTCTTGAGAGTCTTGTAAACGATGTAATCCTATTTGATAATCAATAAAGTGCGCCGCATGGCTTCCCTAAAAAAACTAGCAAAGCTATCAAGCAACCCCTAACTCGCCTCTCCAAGCAAGAAAATCCTTGCCCAACCAGGAGAGCCAGATCGGCTCTCTCACATCGGCAAGGCGAGCGGCAAGCGCATCTCATACTGTACGGTGCAGATTTGCTACTCCTCTGACATCTATGCATGATTGAATGATCACCAGACCAAGATGAGCATTTGGTATTATAAAAATCAAAGTGCTTGCATTGGGGTGTTAGACAAGCTTTCACACTAAGCAAAACAACCAAACAACTAATTCTATTTGGACTCACCTTGCTTAGCCTTGATTTGCCTGCTAGCCTGGTTAGATAAAATTGGGCCAAGCAACCTTAGATATTCTTGCAATGAGACTATCACACTATAATGTCATTTCAAGAATAAAATCTAGTTTTAATTTTTCTCACACAACATTTGGACCTAGAGTGACCATTTTGCCCATATGTTCTTTTACCTTATCCCTTCATCTCTCTCACGTGTTCTCTCTCGGAGTTGGGGCGACCAATGAGACTGACACCAATGTTGTCACCTCCCAAGCCACGCCTCCCCTAAGCAGGGTCGCACTAGCCTGAGCTGTGGCACAGCTAGCGTCGCCCTCGCCGAGCCAGGCCGCCATGAGCACAACCATGATGACAGCCATGTCCACGGCAGCGACAGTGCACCACCTTGGGTAGCGGTGACTGCTGCCCTGACACGCATGAGCCAATGACAGCATCGGCGGGAAAAGGAGCCAGCGGCAACATCATCCTATCTCAATCATGGACGATGCTCTAATAAATCGCTCGTGAGCTATCTTTGATGTGGGCAATTCCACCCAAATGGGAGCTTGCTCAAGCTCGGAGTCAGGGGGGCAGGCACTGTTTACGGGAGGCATAGCCTGGGGAGCACCGGTGTTAGAATCATAGGAGACCCGATCGCCCCCAACTCCATAAGAAATAGGGGAGAGCACGTGAGAGCTTTGAAGGGAGAAGGTAAAGAACACATGAGCAAAATGGTCACTCTAGGTCTAATTTTTTTGAGAGATTAAAACTGGGCTTAAATCTCGAGATGGTATTATAGCATGATGGACTTATTTTATAAAGATTTTTAAGTGGATTTTATAGTGATGAAACTCATTTTCGCTAAGTAAAGTGATCCCCCAGGAAACCCATGTCATTAAGATTACATTCTGAAAGCACGTCATGAAAATCTTGCATTTGCCTTTGTGGCCTAGGCCTGCCGTCTTTCTTTTCCATATTGTACAAAATTTCATTAAAATCCCCCATGAGAAGCCACGGGGTATTTAAATCACCTTTGATTGAGCGCAGTGCTTCCCAAGTGACATGCTTTTGATTCCACTCCGGATTGCCATAAACTCCAATAAACCTCCAACTTACTCCATTATCAATGATGACATCAATATAGTTCTTCGTAATTCCTTGAACCTGGATACTAATATCATCCCTCCACATAAGCACCAACCCTCCACTTTGGTCATCACTTTCGTGAACAAGCAAATGATTGAAGCCTGCCCATCTTCTAATGTTTTCTGCCTTTGCATTATCCAGATGTGTTTCAGACAGAAACCACACATCTGGGTTTAGATGCCTCCGGACTTCCAGAAGCGCTCGAACTGCCCGAGCTGAACCTAGCCCGTAGCAGTTCCATGCTAAGAGTTTCATTGTTCCCGGCGAACCTCCTCGAGGGAGGACACCGATAGAGCTAGTTGTTTCACTGCAGTCTTCACAATTTCGTCAGTCACCCCTTCTTTCCTTTGTCTTTTCTTTTTCCTGAATCTTCTCTAGACTATCTGTCCCGGTTGATGCTCCTGGATCAAACAAAGGATTATAAATATTCACCTCATTTTCATATATATCCATATCTTCTTCTTCAGTATCCTCACGGGTCAAACCCCTTCCTCTACCTCGACCTCGACCTTGCATACCACCTCGACTACCACCCCCATGACCTACTCCTCTGCCACTTGAACTACCCCCAAATTTCACCAGGAGCCAGTCCCCCCATTGGCACTTGTTTTGATCATGCACTCCATCTCGTGCCCCATAAGTCCACAAACATAGCAGAAGTTGGGAGGTTTTTCATACTGTACCAAATAGCGCCTACTCTCTTTTATTGTTACTGGGACAACTTTGACCAGAGATTTATCAAGCTCCATAAACACTCGCGCCCTCAAGAACGGGGATGGGTTGATTCTGCCTTCATCCACAATCACTGTAATAGGAGGGTGGCCAACCTTCCTAGCTACTTTCTCTGCCAATTTCTTCTTCTTCATGAGACCCTCTGGTATACCCTGGATGCGAACCCAGACCGGGATTCTATTGAGCTTGAACTCCTTTACATTAGCGAATCCATTGTACTCCTCCATGACAACTGGAGCTCCTCGGAAAAGCCAAGGGCCCCCCTCCATCACTCGATTCCAATCACATAGGCATTGAGCCTGTACCAGGAAGAGATTTGTGTTCAACACCTTGAAGGTCACTTCCTTTGCCGCTGACCACGCTATGCGCATTGCATTAAACAGGGCTGCATGACTAAAGGGTTTGGTGGTGTGAACCCTAAAGATTGCAAGCCATCGAACATCCTTGATCAGATCCTCTAGCTCCCCTGAGAAATCTAGATCGTCATCCTCCTGCATTAGGTTCCTCAGCCGATCTTCAGGATTTATCTCCTGATCCATCCTCTCTCCCTCCGTCTCCTTCTCCTTCGGTTCACCTTGAGCGTCCTCCGTGCCCTTGTTTCAAAGACACGACTACACACAGCAACCCCAGTACGTTGAGAACGGGATGATCCAACATAAACCTAGAAATATTTAGTGGAATTGGTGGACTCTTGGCTGTGACGTCGCCGTCGCCGAGAGGAATATTTGCTAGTAGGTACAAACAGAGCAAAATCAAAGTGACTAATATCTAATGGCCCTACACGGCCTACACGAACCCCGGTCTGCCTGTACCGTACGCTGGCATGCTGCAACTGCAACTTTTTCAGCCCTGACGTTTCTCTTCCTACCCCAGCGTGCGCGCTCTGTCCCTCTGCCCCACCCCCCTTCTCTCTCTCGGCGACGACTGGGCGGCCGTCGCTGCCGTCCTACGCCAGGTGCCGTCGCTGCCTCCCTACGCCAGGTGCCCAGGTCTTCTTCGGGCCATTCGCCGGCGGCGAGCACCACCAGGTATGCCCACCCCTTGGTCTTCCCTTCCTGCTGTACAAAACCGAGCACCCAAACCCTAACTTACTATTTGCATTCGGATCTGGTCTAATTACAAGTGTATATCCATGAATTATGCCTACAAACTTTGATTGTTTTTGCAAAAATTATCGGTGTACAAGTGGACACCCATGTCCTGTCCGCCCCTTCTCAGTAGACCAGTTGTTCGGCCTCGGTGATATGAGTTCAGCTTGAGATTGACGACACACAGCTAGAGGTTTTTGCATTCTTTTCTACAGGGCCATGACCCTTGAGGCGGATTGTGCTTAGGATGCCTCTAGAATAGGGTTATCCGAAGCCCTCTGAATGATGCAGAGTCTGTCCTCTGTTCTTCAAAATTGTGTCTTTTTTCTATTTTGCTTGCATTGCTGAGACTCAGAATATCATATAGTCCATTGCGGATTTTAGCTGTTTTGCTTTTATTCTCTTCTCTTGCCCTGACTTAAACTTGTCTTTGCCATCCTCGAGAAGGGAGAGCTTCCCAGATAGAGCTGTTCCCCTCCAGTGTATCAGATGGCGAGGATAAAGCCGAAGCAATTGCTAATCCAAAGCAAGACGAAGAAGGCTCCATCTCGGATCAGCTACTCTACTATCATCACATGGAACTTGATTGTCATATTGGTTGTGCTATCTCTCTATGCTACCTACAGCCATTGGCATCAAAGGTTTATGTCCTCTCTGGAAATCATTTTTTTTGTTTATTTTACTATTTGGTGCCCCTAGCACACTTATATATTGCAATAAGTTGAGATGAAGTATGCTCATGCCCTGTAGTTGTTCAATAAGTAGTTTAATATTGTTTCTGCTCACCATTCCTCTATTGATGAGTTCAACCGCAGGTCTGCCCAAGACTTTGAAATGGAGCTTCATGAAGCTGAGGTAAGTTACACAGTCTTACAAAAATCTAGTGCAAGAAACTGTGCTCGTATTGTTTACACTTAATGAATCTGCAACTAGGTACATGCCATTTATGTTACTTAGGTGGCATCATCTCTCTTTCCCCCCATTAAATAACTTTGTATGGCCTAGTGATTATACTAACTGATATGTTGGAAAGCGTGTTTCATGGTTAGTATCATAATTATACATTTCAGGTTTAACTCATTGACGTGGCTATTGGATTTTGTTTCTTATTCGTTCTGGAAACAGAACCAATGAGAATTCTTGTTTATAAGAAATATATAGGGCTGTCGTCTGCATTTTCCCTATTGAATTTGCTTTCTTCATAGTTCATTTGTGATGAAATGGAACATCTATTTGACGTAGTCTTTAATACTTAATAAAATTTTCTTGATAACTTATTATCAGTTTTTGGGGGACATTAGACATCAACGGTCAAACTCATTGATTGTCTTCTTTTGTTCATTTGTTTGAATCAAGCTTGCTGTGAGACCGGTGGATCCAAAAATGATAAGTAGACCAAGATATGCGGTAAGTTTTGTTGTTCACTCTTCTCAACTCAATTTCTAAACAAACCACCAGATGCTGATCGCATATTTAATCAACCATTGAATCTAACTTGAGAATATATGTAACATCTAATGTATATTGTATATACATTATAACATGCTGTGCTGCTACTGACATCTAAATCAGGTTGTGGTTTATTTTCTTGAAGCATGATATGCTTAAAGGATATGACACTCTGATACGTCTTCAAAAAATATTATTCCGCTAAGGATGCATGAATTTGCATGTGGAAATACAACTTTTGTTGTAGCATAGTGAGTTATGGCCTTTTGTGTGAACCCCATTACCCAAACAAGGTAATGGTAACAGTGCTTGTTAAGTGGGGATGAATGGTGTTTTTTTTTTATGTTCTATACTGCTCAAACTATGCTCATGAAATGATGAAACCTGAGTCAGTCAGTACTGACCAAAGTTTAACACTAAGTAACAATTCCACTGGGCTTGAGAAGTTGAGACAAATCATCTAAGGCCCTGTTTGGTTAGGCTGTGGCTTTTGGAAAAGCAACTGTGAGTTGTGGCTTTTGGAAAAGCAGCTGTGGAAAAGTAGCTGTGAGAAAGTCAAAAGTCCGTTTGGTTCGGCAGATGTGGCTTTTGAAACAAATGTTGAGCAGACCTCACATGTCATTCACACGCCCACATCTCTCAACTCTCTCCCACGCTCACTGACGAGTGGACCCCGCTCGGCAGTCTCTTCTTCTTCCTCCCGGCGGGATGCACGTCCACCCGCTCCGCATCCTCGCATCCGCCGACTAGGACCGCGAAGCAGCCCGTGGTGGCGCGCCTGCGTCGGAGCCCGCCCGCGGTGGCGCGCTCGCATGCAGCTCGCCCGCATCCAGCGCCGCCCGCCTCCAGCGCATCCATCACGCCTGCATCCAGCGCTGCCTGCGCACGCGCATCCAGCGCCCGCCCGCCGGAGCTCGAGCAGGAGGTCGCGAGGTGCGTGACGGGATGGAGGAGCAGGAGAGGGGTTGGAGCTGCACTTGCCGGCGGGGTCACCGGAGCTGAGTCGCGGGAGGGACGCTGGAGCAGGTCCGCCGCCAGGACAGGGGTCGTCGGAGCTCGAGCTCGAGGGGTCGCCGAGGCAGGGGATGCGCCCGTGCCATCCGTGGGGGCAGCGGCCTCGCCCGTGCCGTCCGCCGGAGCTCGAGCAGGAGGCCGCAAGGTGTCGCGACGGGAAGAAGTCCGCGACGGCGGCGGGGTGAAGTTGCGAGGTGCGCGATGGGAAAGAAGTTCGCGACAGAAAAGAAAAAAATCGAACCGGTATGTTCATAACCGTGGCAGGTGGGTAATTTTTTTACCCCAAAAGCAGGGGGAGAGCTGCTTTCAATTTTGTACTAGAGCAAAAGCTGCTTTTGGGCAAAAGTAGCTGTGACTTTTGGGCCCTTTGGTTGGCTTTTGGCTTTTGCAAAAGTAAAAGCAGGTTCAAAAGCCCAACCAAACAGGGTCTAAATGCGACTAATACTGTGATATATTGGATGCCACTGCATACCTAGTTATGAAGTGTTTCTTTTGCTATGTTAAACTTCTGCTGTATGTTGTTGAGACTCAACATTTTGTAACACTGGTTGTCATCCGCAGAATTAGCAAGAAAACCAGATTCTGTTCATCCACAGAATTAGTATGAAAAATTATGGCATACAACCTTACTAAGTTGGTGATATAAATTTTGAATGCAATGATGCTTTGCAGATAAATTACTTGTTTTACAAATATTTTATCACCCTACTGCAGTTAATCATCTTTGTAGTAGAAAGAAGCATTATGCCACTGCTTAACTTCTGCAGGTAATGAACACCGCAAAGGGTCCAATTACTATAGAAATATACAAAGATGCTTCTGCTGGTGTTGTGGATAGATTTATCGACTTGTGGTAAGCACCATAAATTGTGATGAATCCATGATTTATTTAATAGTTTCATGACATAAGATTTATATGATCATTTGTTTTGTTATTTTGATTGTGTTAGTGTCACAATATAGCTGTGCCATAGTCAGTTAAAAAACGTAGCTCTGCTTGTGTGTCATAGTTGGTTGAAAAACATAGCTTCGCCGTATATAGCATATATGATTAATCCACAGAAGTTAGAACTTCGAACCGGTAACTTTATCACAATTTGAATGGCGGTAGAGGTTGGGCTATGCACCACAGTTACACTATGAATAACTACAAATCTGCAACCTATCAAACAATACTTTTAGTTGATGGGTCAAGCAACACCTGCTAGTTTCAACACTCAACAGTTGGACTAAAATTCTCGTAGAATTTATATTCAGTTATTCGAGGCATAACATTGAACTTAAAAAGTGCTTTTATGCTCTCCCAAAGGAAACATGAAGTCTAATAGTGTTAATTAATGGGCAATCAATGGGCTTATTTGAGTCTTTCATGAACCTGTTAACAAAGTTTGATTGTAATGATAAACTAGTTACTGGTGGCATGAATATGTGGCAGTTTTTAATGCTAGTGTGGAAAGTGTGAAACTATCGCTACCATGGTAGCATATGGCAACTATGCTTATGATATCGTAAATATTGTATTTGCTACTATGCATCTTTCCTGGGAAAACACTTCGAGTTGGAGCTAATAAGTTGATAATTCTTCAGGATGAGCTATTATTATTTTTTTGGCTATTTGGTATAGTATCTAATATTTATCCTATTGCACAGCAAGAGTAATCATTTCAAAGGAATGCCATTTCGGCATATCATAAAAAATTTTGTAATTCAAGGAGGTGATTTTGATTTTGATGGAGCTGCCCAAGAATGGATAACGAAAGCTAAAGCTAGTGGGAAAAATGATCTCAGGTTTGATTCCTGTGTAGTGCATATATTAAATTATCTTGAATCTTAGTTTTGTAGACCAGATCTTTTATAATAGCAATGTCCTTAACGTTAACTATATTTCTACGATTTTGCAGTCCAAAACATGAGGCATTTATGATTGGGACTGCAAAGAATCCTAATAACAAAGGATTTGATTTGTTTATCACGACCGCTCCAATTCCTGACTTGAATGACAAGCTTGTTGTATTTGGGCGAGTTATCAAGGGAGAGGACATCGTTCAGGTGCTTTCTGAATTTCTCTTTCTGGGAGCTTTCTTCCGTAATGTTTGCTTGAATCATTAAGCTATGACTTATGTTTTCCTTTTATCTCTTTGTGCTGAATGGCTTCTTTGCTTATTGTATACCACATGTACTGCATTTTGGCTGATTTACATGAAACTGTTCTTGAGCTCTGAAAGCAGATGTTCAAATCTCTCTCTCTCTCTCTCTCTCTCTGAATTGAGATTACTCTGCTTATATTGGAAGCATAGAGTTAATACAACGAAAGTATGCTGGGATATCAGCTTAACAGGAACTGAGTACAAGAAACACTAGGCAGCAAAGATATGAAACTAGGCGAAACAAGAAGCTGCCCTAGAACAGTACTGTTAAACTCTCCCACATCCTAGCTTGGCACATTTGAAGGCTCAAAGCTATGCAGTCATCCAGGAGTTTCTCCGTCATAACATCCAGATCTTGCAGTTGTTTTCCTTCTTCAGGGGTCTCCACTTCTGCAAGAAAGCGACACCAGTGAGGACTATATGCCCATAGGCTTATCGGGGAAAGTGTGTTCAATCAACATCTTGTTCCTATTATTCCACAGTGCCCAAGCAGAACCTGCAAAAAACAAACGTTGCCAAGTGCTGAGAGATACCGTTCCTATTTTGGAGCCAACTCTCCTAAATTCAGCTCTTGAGATTGGGAAACCATTCCAGCCAAACACATTTCTTAGACAGCACCACAGTACCCTTGCTATGGAGCAACAAAAAATATGTTGTCTATTGCTTCCTGTTGATCACATGAGCAACAGTAAAATTTCCATTTCCAACTCCTCTTCAAAGTCACAGCAGATTGTAACTTGTGAAATAATTGCCTTATAAACACTTTAATTTTTAGCGGTTCTTTATACTTCCAAATTGCCCTTGCCTGAATATCAGTCACTCCTACGTCAGATAAGAATTTATAGAGGCACTTAGGACTTATCTAAAGCCAATACAACCTTATCCTCTTTCCTATTATCTACACACAGAATCAAGTTGAGCTCTCCAGTCCTCCAGAAGCTCCATCTCTGCTCCATGCAGACTCCTGAACTGTGTATTCCAGTCACCATCATCATGTAACTGATACTAGAGTATCAGGATCAGATCATAATCTAAATAGGTCAGAATAGTAGATTTCTAGTGGTGTCTTTTCAATCATGTATCATTCCTTATGCTGGCCATTTCCAATCTAAAAAATTGCCAAACACCCCGGCGCGTCCCCAAGATGTTTGACTTTGTGTAGACCCTGCCAGAGCTGTGAGGAGCCTTTTTGTTTGGTGATAAAGAAAGAACCCTGTTTCACATACTTATTCTTCAGAATTTGAGCCCAAATAGATGTTTCAGATGTCGATTTATAGACTAGAAGGTGTTCAAAATGCCAAGTTATATATGAATATAACATGCTGCATTAATGAAAAAGCCTGGCCAAATTGAATTCGTCATTTACGGCACATAGGCTGTTTACGTATTTTCATTTGGGTTATATCACTATAATAGTTGCTTATTAGATTTTGTTTTTGTCTGCTTGTTTACACAAACAGGAGATTGAAGAAGTTGACACTGATGAACATTATCAGCCAAAGGCTGCCATAGGCATCATCAATATCATGCTAAAACAGGAGCCTTGAGCTGCGTATCCTCCTTGTCATGTACATGAAGACCTTAACCACATGCCTGATGACTTTCTGTAGTTCGAAAAGGTCCATACATCTCATTGAGTTGCTTGAGTTGCTTTTGTATTGATGACGTGTATGCGGATGCGATCCTTCCTCTGGAGTCTGGACGACGCCTTATGTCTTGCGTGGAAGGCATTTGTGACGCTTGTTCAAGTTGTTGTTGCAGCGTTTGTGTATAATATTCACAGATTTTTGGCTGTCAGCATGTGCGAGCATATAAATACTGTGCTGCTACACCCCATATCATGGTTGTGGTAACAGTAAGCAGTCTATTCTCTGCTAATGCTATCAGTAACCTATTTGGGCCTTGTGAATGAATCCAATAGACATATCGCACGAAAGATATGGCAGCAGGTGGGACTTATTTAGCATGGACAGTGGGTCGTGGGGTACTGTGGTCGCTCGATTTGGTGCACAAGGTTCTTTTTAGCAAAAATAAATGTCGGAGTAAAAGTTTTGCAAATAGAAGTATTATACTTATCTTTTGTTGATGTAATATGGCTATGGTCAAGATTCAAAAAAAAAAAAAAAGGCTATGGTCATACAGGGAAATTCGAACCTACCACCAAATCATTTGTAGCCAACTGAACTGGTAGAATATGTGACGAGATTTGAATCTGCAGACAGTCAAAGACTTCCGAAGAACATCACGGTGACTATATTCCTGAAAAGCAGGATCATCCAAGGTTCACACACGAGCTCATGGACTTCAAGGTGCATTATTTTTCGCTCTCTCCCTCAATCACAATTCACATCTCCCTCTGATTTGTTTTTACCATTGTTTGCGATACTGCAACGCAAGGTGACACAGCTCGTGGATGAAGGCGATGAAGCTGCCATGGGCACGAGCTGCTTTGTGCCGTGGTTGCGTCGTGCCGTCGTGCATGACGAGGACAACAACCAGCTTGTGGTGGAAGGAAGGGACGACGACCAACTGGTGATGGAGGGTCCTGTGGGCTTCCTCGATGGGCTCAGTGGGCCTACATATCGTTCTTTTTGGGCTGGACTTTTTTTAATTCCCAAATTTTTTTTTAGAGGAGAGCAAATCAACTCGCCTGTGGAAAAGTTGATTTATAGAGGCCCTCTACATAAGAGGTTGACAGTTGCGCCTCTGCAAATAATATTTGCTTGCTGGTAAAAAAATTCCCCCTTTCATAGTAGCAAAGTCCTTTTGAATTAATTAAAGAGCAAAATATGCCACACCTCTAAGAATTGTCAAGGCTCCACATCAGAATCCTCCACAGACTGCGACCCTAACTGTGCTGGAAATTAAGGGGCGTGTGACCACCACCTGAGATACAACTCTTTGGAGGCAACGACAACGACTTGCTTCTTAAGGGTCTCATTTTCTTCATTTCCTATGGGCTTCTTTTTCTCCCTATAAGATTTGAAAACCGTAGCAGAGAACGAAACTCCTTTCTAATTTTGTGCCTTCTTAGTGGCTCTTGCAGGCACCACTCTATACACCTCGATCCCGGGTACCATGCGAGAGTGGTCATACTCACTAGCAACCAGGCGGTCGCCTCTGCTGATGTCAGACTCGTGCTGCTCGCATGCCTCTAAGTTGGAGACTTTGAGCTCCAAAGTGTACATCTTAGCCCATAGCTGCTCCTCAGTCATGGTGGCTCAGTGGATCTGTGCCTCCGCCTCGATGGCGCTGTTCTGCTCGCGCACCTCAATCTTGTCCTGCCTGCAGGTTGGCGGCAAGCTCGTCGGACGCACGGATCCGAGCCTCAGCCTTGGTGAGCCTACACTCGCCCGCAACAACCTTGTCCTACAGTCTAGAAATTCTCTTGACTGAGATTGATGGCACGTCTTAGTTTTAGATGCTTTGCGCTTCCATGCTTCAATCTTGTCCTGGAGCTGTGCCATGGTCATGGAGGCTGCACAGATCTATGCTTGGGCTTTTGTCGCACCGTGCTTCCAAACCTCGAGTTCTGCGACCGCGCTGCTACGTGCCAGCAGGATCTCTTCCCAGAGGACTGCCTCAATCTTAGTGGCCATGTCCTGCCACTCGGTGATGTCAGCTCGAAGACGTTCCTTGGTGTTTTCTGCCCAGTCCTTAGCCTCCTTGAGGATTCTCTCACGCATAAGATGATCTCGTCTTGGAGCATAGCCACGGTCACATGTTTCCTGAGCCTCAGCTCGTCCACACTCTTGACCTCCTGCACAGCCACAGGTGGTGTTGCTGCTACTAATGCTTGGAGCATGCTTGTGTAGCATCTGCATTATATACAGGCTCCCAAGCAGCAACTTGAGGTTTCATGCCGTTCAGCATCTCTCAGCCTTGTGCAGTTGTGCCTTTGTGAAGCATAGCTCCTCTTTCGCCTGTTCAACTTGACTGCCATTGTTGTCACCGTCGCTGTCACTGTCCTACCCCTTTCGGACTTCTTGTCGATAGAGATATGGATTATATCAGGGGCTTCTACCTCCTTCAATTTCAAAAGCACACATGATGCCTGAAATTGAAGTGAACATAATCAAACAATTATGTTTAGTCTAGTGCATAGATAATCTGGTATTAGGACGACATTGCAAGATATTTGTATTTTACTATGGTTGGGAGGAGACATCAGGAAGCGTTAGATGTGTCTATGATTGGTGGACCCATATGAGGAAAGGTGTTGAGAGGCGTCAATGAGAGAGGCGTTAGATGTGTCTATGGTCGGTGGGCCCATATGCGCCGTAACGCCTCCCAACACATGAGGATTAGGACTTCAAATAAAAGAGCGACAATTCCTTTTTTGTAGTTAATTTTTTAATCAAGGGTAAAACAGTCAATCCACAATTGTAAAAATAATGTTTTGAGTAGTATAGTTGGGATGTATGATTTAAGTACTATAGTTAGATGAATATTTGCTTTTAAAAAAAGATGAATATTTTCGTCTTGTTAGGGTTCATTCGCCGCCGTCTCTGTATTCTCCGTCGAGATCCAGACCCGACCCCTTCTCACCAGCTCTCAGCTCCCCAACCGAGCACGTGGAGGCCGCGGCGGTGACTGCGCTCCCGGTCGTGGCGACGGCGGCCATCCCAGCTGCCCGAGGGAGGGGGTGCGGGTGGCGAGGTGCGCGCGTCCATGGATGCGGCGGTCCATGGTGGCGAAGCTGGAGGGCGGGCTCGGCAAGCCAGTGCCCACCACCAACTGCCGCGACTGCTACGAGTACCAGCGCCGCGAGGGCTGCTCACGTGTGGCGGGCGACGAGGAGGAGGACGGCGTCGACGACCTAGAGGGCGAGTTCGGCCTCCAGGACGGCGGCACGGGGCACGATGATGACCCGCAGTACGTCGCCGAGTCCATGCTCAAGGCCAGAGGCGGACCGACCTATAGGGCGAGCTTGGGCGGCCGCCCTAGGTCCTCTCCGGTGAGTTCCACTAGTACCCTCAGTTCTCCGGCCGGCGACGGCGTCCGTCGAGTGAGTCAGCGAGCGCAGCCGCGAGTTGGTCAACTGCGTGAGGTTGAAGAAGATGCCTCCTGCTGGGCCGTCTAGCAAATAAGGCCCATCCCCACCCTAGTCCTCAAGGGTCGTGGCCCATTTTATGGCCCAATGGCTATAGGGCTTGGCGCAAGGCAAGTTGGGGGGACCAGGGGCGCACGCACATTCGCTCAATCGCTCGCATAGCAGCTCAGGAGCTCGGTGACGGTGCTCCAATCCAACTCACGGCGGCACTCCACTGCTCTAGGTTGGCAGGCCATGCTCCTTGCCTCCCCTCTCCGACTCCCTGTCCCTAGCCCCTAGCCCCCAACGCCGGCGGCAAGCAAGCGGCGGCAGGCGGCCCTGCGCGCGGCTGTGCTTGGGCGGCCGAGGAGTGAGGACGCCAGCACCCAGTAGGCAGCAGAAGATGGATGGGAGAGGAGATGAAGCGATTGGGGGAAGAGATGAAGCTGGAGCCGGCGATGCATCTAGCATGACGAGGAGGTCGACAGCTCCAACTCCATTGAGCTAGAAGCGGTATAAGAAAATAGGTGCTGCCCTTAATCCATTATCCATTGCAAATTGTTAGTCAAATAAATAGATAAAGATTGATCTCTGACTAGTGAAATCAATTCAATGGTTAATTGGTTTTGCATATTTGAAAAGCTTTTTTCCTAATACAAATTCCGTAAGTGATTGGTTACAACAGAATGATTGGTTGGAATATAGTGTGGCTAAGGATGCAACATTTTGCTTCTATTGCTTTCCTTTTAAGCAAAAGCCCTTAGAAACACATTTTGGTCATGATGCATTCAGTAAAGAGGGGTATAGTAATTGGATTACAATATAGATAGGGTATACATACATAGTTAGACTGGTATATCGGTCAAGTTTTGTATCTATACGTAGCGATCCGCCCTAGCTCATATTTTCGGCTGGGTTCGCCACTGCTCAGGGCACAGATGAGCTATTGTCGCGGCGGGGACGCGCATCCTGGCTTCAGCCCTGTCCCCAATGTGCCGCTCCTCACCAACGGCCAGATGGTACTGCTCTCCTCTTCCTCTGCTGCTTGCATTGCTTGCTTTCGGTTGAAGTCTGCAGGCTAAGACAAGCAAGCAAATGAAGCCATCATTGTTATAAAGCAACAAATAGTGATACTTAAGTGAATAAGAATTGCTATAGCTTGTTTGTCCTCTGCCTGAAACTCTGTTGTCTAAAGGTCCATGATTGCATAGATAAGTCACTGAATTGTTGTATAGAAATATGAATATGCCAATATGACACCCAAGTGTTTTTTCAGCTAAATAAACATTGTCATGTACTGAGTATGTCCCTTTTCATATTCATTGTTCCACGTGGGATGATTTGAACAGTTGATTCAGTCACCGAATTGCCAGCTCTTTTGGTTCAGATGATACTCCATTTATTTCCAATTCCATTGGTATCATCACCCTACATCTCAGGATTTTTTTAACACTTTTTGTAAACTAATTTTAAATCTAACACTGTTTTTTTTCTTCAAAACTAACACTTTTGGCC